GGGGGAGGGGCGAGTGGAGAAGGTTCGTTGGGCCAAAGATGGTGGAAGTGCGAGTGAAAGGTAAAGAGAGGATGTTGGAAAGTTTAAAAATGCGGATAGAGAAGAAGGAGAAGGAGAAGGAGACGTTTCTTAATTTTTCATTAAAATCACCACTTTTCGACCGCTTATATCTCCAGAACGGCTTGACCGATTTAAAATTTTTTTGGCTCAAATTACACGTGGTGATGCCGCCTTTCAGGATATATAACGTTCGATTCAAAATTTTTTATATTTTAGTAATTATGCACCTCCCAAAAATGGATTTTGTTGGCTCGGTATAAGAGACTTGTAGCGTCTCAGAGTTTTTGAACATGGCCGGAGACGCTACCGCGTCTCCTGATCCTTTGCATCTTATTTTTAATAGAATACAGAAAAGAATCGATTATTTATTAAATTGTAAACTACACATATCACATAATGAAGAACAAAACACAAAATTTGATTTTCCTAACAAAATACTTTTCGTTTTACCGTATATTCCCAAAGTTACAAATGCTATTACTAGTGGCTTAGATAAAGATGTTTTCACCATAGGAATTAGGGTGTTGAATAATAAACTTAATAATATTATTAAAATTTATAAAGATAACACAGAGAATATGCAAAGGAATAATGTTGTTTACAAGGTGGAATGTAATACAAAATTGCGATTCGTCATATGTGGGACAGACAAAAAGAAAATTGATCACTAGAGTAAAGGAACATAAATATAATATTAGAGCAAATCCAACAAGAGTTACAGTTTTGTCTGAACATTGCAATCAATTTGGACATTCCTTTGATTGGGATAATATACGTATTATGGACATTGAATCTCATCACAATAAAAGATTAATTTCTGAGATGTTATTTATTAAAGAACAAAATAATGGTATTAATGCACAAAAAGATACTGAAAAATTAGATAGAGCATGTGATCAGCTGTTTAGGTCATTACCCTCAGTATGTAAGTGACATTTCTAACTTAGATGTTTTTATTGTCCTTTATTCTTGTGACAACTGTCGATTTGCACAGATCTATTCTTCATATACATTGTTTCTCTTTAAAGCGGAAAATTATACATAGCATCTAATCTGGCGTAAGTTTAATAATTTTATTGTTATTTATTTTATCTTCGATTATATAATACTAATATTTTATTCAGAATTGTGATGCTGATGAATTTGTATTCGGCTCGAGAAACAATTTTTTCATTTTATTTGCGGACTTGATGACTATGATTTGATTGATTTATCATACTATGTTTGACAAAAAAGTTATATTATTATATGTTTACTAAGGAGACTGAAGAGGACTTTGTAAAGTTGAAACGTTTCTTGTTATAATTTATAGAATATTTAATAAATTTTATCATTTTTATATTGCTTGTTTTAATACCGTAATTTGACATCAATATAAAATATCATACGTAAAAATATTTCTCTTACACCAGAAATGTTGTATTATTCTTATACCGAGAGGAATTAGTTCTATACTGAAAGTACGTATTCTCGCGTTCAGAAACATAAAGTATTATACTTAGAGTATTTTCTCTCGTATCACGAATATTAAATTTTAAAACATAGAATATCCCCTTTTATACCGCGAATATTAATCTTATTATTGAAATCTAAAGTCTAAATCCAATCATTAAAACGTTAAATCACTACTAGAAATATTAAAATCGCGCACTCAGAAATTTATCTTATAGTTAGAATAATTTCTTCCAATATTAAGAACATATAGTCCTATACTCGGAGTATTTACCCACATGTCAGAAATAATTATACTTAGAATATTTTCTTTCATTCCGAGAACATTGAGTCTGATACACAGAATATTTGCTCGCGTATCAGGAATAATTATACTCAGAATACTCTCCTTCATATTAAATCTCAAACTTAGAGAATTTTCGTACACCGAGAATATATAGCCTTCTACTCGGAACATTTTCTTTCATATCAAGAATATTAGGAATATTAATCTCATCCTTGAACTATTAGTCTTACACACCTCGTATTCAATAGATGCCAAAAAAGTACTGTAAGCGCCGCATAAGGAGTAAGAGGTGAGGAGTGAAGGTTCGCATACGCAAAGTAATACGGGAGTACGTAACCGGGGGCGAGTTTGACCCTACTATCTATTGGGCGTCGGAACCTTCCTCCACCTCAATAAAGGACAGCGTAAAAATACTGCCCACGTCGCCTAACGGAGCAGGGGTAACAAACGGCACGAACACAACCGTGATGGAACCACCCGCGAAAGAATCGGGCACAAAAGAATCGACGGCACGGGCACCGAAACCAATTCGGCGACCAGCGCCCCGTCCCCGCACTCCGCCGCCGCACAGTGGTCCAAACGCAAAAGATTCTGTTCAAAACAGTCTACAGGTCGTATTTCTTAACCGATTTCAATGATCTTGGAACAGAAATACTCAGAAATAGATTCCGAAGAAACGTAAGGAAGCCGAATTTGCATTTTCTTTGTTTATACAAAAATATTTAAACAAATAGGGTGATGAATTGACACTTTTCCACTAAATTATTTTTTATTTGGTTCCAACCTACTTTAATGAGCTCACTATCAATAAAAATAAATATTATCCCATCGTAAGAGAAGAAATATAATTCATTAAACATTTAATTTTATTATTATAAACAAATTATTTAAACAAATTATGAATATTAGCGCTTTCTCACAGAAATATTTAGTCTATTAACTTAATTGATCTAACAATAAGTTACGATAATAATGACGATCTTTCACAAAACTTGATTGTAAACTAACAATTTTAATTGTTATAAACAATCAAATAAACAAATAGTAATTTTTACATAAATTATTACGTATTATTTTTTATATTTAAATCAATTACACGTAGAATTATGTACAAATTGATTTTAGAAGATGGGATTGTGTCAATAATGTACATTTGCTTTATAACAATATAATAAAATCCAACTGATCATGTTTGAACAGATGCGCGCGCGCGTGTATGTGTATAAACGTATATATTTTTAAGAATGTTGTGTGTGTGTGTGTGTGTGTGTGTGTGTGTGTGTGTGTGTGTGTGTGTGTGTGTGCGCGTGCGTGCGTGCGTGCGTGCGTGTGTGTGTATGTGTGTGTGTAAAGGTCGAGTTTTTAACATTTTAGGTTTTTAATTGGTATTGCTGAATTAACTGTGTAATCTCATTTTCCATTTCACATCAATGATATCTTTGTTTTCTGGTCTATCTACGAGTTCCCATGAATCATTTTTATTTAAGCTCTTTATTTCCGACTCCATTGCTTTTTTCCAATTTTCCGCGTCTACACAATTTATCGCCTTTTCAAAGCTATTCGGGACATTCGGATCACTAAAATGTACATAAATAAAATTTGTCGTATGTTCATTATATCCATATCGTTGTATTGGGTTCTTATTTCTATTTAAGCGCCTAACCTCTAAATTATCATTTAATTCATACTTTTGATTTTTTTGGCTCTCGACTAATTCTAAATTTTTCTGATTTCCACTAATTTCATTTAAATCTTCATTTACATTATTATTCTCCGTACTATCATTTTCGTTCGACTCCGAATCTATTCTGTCTTTATTATCATCATCTTTTTCTAAACAAATTAGTCTGACTCCCTCTTCTATTACATCAGTATATCTGGCATGTATTATTTTGCCATTAATTAAGACTCTATACCCAGTTTCAGTATATCCTACTAAAACTCCTAACTGTGCTTTATCTGCCCATTTATTTGATCTTAATTGTTCAGGTGTCCTCACAAAAACTCTACTTCCGTAGACCTTCAAATGCTCAATGTTCGGTTTTTTATTGAACATTATTTCATATTGGGTTTTATATTCTACAGTATTTGCTAACGTCTTATTTTTTAAATAAGCTGCTGTTTTAATTACCTCAGGCCAGTACTTCCTGTCTATTCTAGCTTCTTTTAAAAGACATCTTGCAGTGTCCAATGGACCTATTGTAGCGTTCAGCTACACCATTCAACTCGTAAGTGTATGGTGGACACGGATTAATTTGTATACGTTTAGACTTAGCAAAATCCATTATATCTTTATTTATATATTCCCTACCGTTATCGCAATTTAATTTCTTAATTCTTTTACCTGTTATATTTTCTATTAAATTTGTATATTCAACAAAATGTTTATAAGTATCAGATTTCGAATTTATACAATATACTTTTGCACATTTGCTAAAATCATCGATAAATGTTAGAAAGTATCTTTCCCCATTATATCCTGTTGTTGGGTGAGGCCCATCTTAAGTCTGTATGAACAACTTCTAAAATCTCCTCTGCTCCAGATCTTTTATTTTTAAATGGCAAATTCGACATCTTACTTTTTATACAAGTAGCACATTTTATGAATTCGTTGCCTAATTCTTTTGGTATTCCCTCGACTAGACCATCCTTACTTATTTTATTCAAATATTGGAAATTTACATGCCCTAGGCATCTGTGCCATTTTTCTTTTACAGACATTTCCTCATTTTTTACAACATTTGAAATTATTTCTTTATTTATTGAATTTTCAGTATAACTTTCCAAATAATATAGACTATTAATCTTTTTTACCGTTGTTACTAAACCTGCTTCGTTATCAATTTTACAACTATCACCTTCAGAAATTATTTTATTATTTTCGGTTATTTTGACATAGCTAAGTAAATTTTGTTTCATCTCTTTTACAAAATAAACATTACTTAAGGTTACCTTTGAATCCTCATTATACGCTCTAAACATACTTTCAATTTTCCCAATTTTTGTGGCTTTCAAAAGTTTTCCATCTCCTAATTTTACATTTTTTGGTTCTTTTAAAGTTATAAATTCTTCAAAATATCTATCGCTATTTACTATAGGTCCGTGCAACCACTATCAAGTAGCCACGTTATTTCTTTATAATTATTTTCTCTAATGCTATTGTTATTACATTTTAAATCAACCTGATCATCGATATTACAAACTATAAACGCCGATTCATTTCCGCCACACTCTTCCTGTTGATTTGGTGTTGCTGTACGCCCTCGGTTGTTGTTGTTATGGTAACCTCTGCTGTAGCTGCCGCGTTGAAAACCTCTGTAGCCGCCTCGTTGATACCCTCTACCAGCTCCGCGTTGAAAAACACCGCCGCGCCGTTGCGTTGGTTGCCTCTGCCGCGGACTTGATGACTTTGTTCTTTTTTACAGTCTTTAAATTTATGGCCTGTTCCACCACACTTAAAGCATTTTCCACGCATGTCTGCGACAAATGCATTTGAACTTTGCTTATCACTTTTATTGTTTTCGCTCTCCATGGTTTTTATCAACACTTTAGATTTCACGTATTCACATGTTCGTTGATCCTCCTGCAGCACATCGATCAAATCTCCAATGAAGTTGAATTCTGGCGGGAGTGCTTTTAATAAGTATCGCAATTTTTCATCTTCGTTAATTGTACCACCAGCCGCTTTCACCTCGTTCACTGACTTTTCAAAAATTGTCGAAAAACGATGCTGCATTATCGTAATTTTTGTATTTAATACTGTCCAGCTTGGTTCTACAGACCATTTGAAGTGCTGAGGACTTCTTTAAATACATGCTATCAAATTTTGTTATAATTTCATAGGCCGAATTTAAATTTCCGTTACGTATTCCATTTGTCAATCAGAGATTGATCCAATTATATAACACTGGGCCTTTATGTCTAGTTTGTTCCAATTCTCTTCATTATCTTTATTTGTTCTTACTCGAGTTGCTTGTTCTTTTAATTTTTTTATTTGTAGAAGTTTCATAATTCTCAGTTTCCAACTTGTATAATTTGCGCCGTCAAATACGGGTAAAGATACATCCTCGACTCTTACATATGATGCCATTTCGAATTTATCTTCTTTTGCTTCAATTTTAATTTTCTTGTTGAGATCAATAAAGTTTTTAATTTTAATTACATTCTTTGTTATTTTAAGAAATACTTTCCTTGTCCTCTTTATTTTATTTTCGGTTTCAATGAAACTTTTGTTTATTATTTCACTCAGTATTTCTTTTACCACTTCCTCACAATTTTCAACTGATTCGAAGCTTGCACCGGTTGGGTTACTCATGAATGTTCGATTTTTTAATCCTTGATAGTTTTTCAGTCACTCACGATTTTTTATTATTTCACATATAATCATTAATTTAATTTTTGCCTTGTTTTATTCCGAGCGCCATGCGGTAATTTTCGCCATCTTACTCCGTTCCACACAGTCTCGTTTACAAACCACGCTCTGCTACCATGTTGGTTAGCACGTGTGGAAGTCAATAAATAAATTGTTATTCAAATTAATAATATTTATTATTACGAAGAAGGTAGTACAAATTAATTAATGGTGCCTATGCTCAACTTAATATTATGGATAAAGAAACAAAAGAGAGGCACACAAACACGACACGGCGCACGCATGACAACATACTCTAGACTGAGTTGCTCTGTTTTTATCGCAGTTTTTCTTCAAATAGCTGGCGCATGTAACAAGTAGTTTCTTATAGGTGGCGCCAGCTACTTGAAGATTTGAGTAACCCAGCATAATTTATTACATTATAACATCCCTGATACGGTGAACGTTAAAGTCACGTTATCTTTTTCTTAATTAGGTGTGAAGAAGGTAACGTGACTTTAGCGTTCACCGTATCTGGGATAAACGGTATTGCAAAAATTCCCTATTGTTTATTTACGTGCCTGAAAGAAAACGTTTATCACTTCACATATACCAGTTATTGCGAGAAATATTACTAAGGCCTCGATCTAATTGACTAGGACACTTGCGCGTAAAGCAAGCGATCCAGGTTCGACTCCCGGCCAAGGTAATATTTTTCGCAATAAGAATTATTTTCAGATTTTAATATAATTTTACATCGATATAAGATGTCAAAAAAGAGCATCAATTAATTATTAAAATTGTTAATCAATTTAATTCGTGATAGTACTACGGTAGTTTATTAGAGTTGCGTTTTAAGACCGACAATTATTCGGCGCGCAGTTTAGAAAAATTAAATATATTAGTATATAAATTCACGTGAAATTATATATAAGCAAATAAATAATTACATAAAATTAGAACTCTCGAGAATGTCAAAATATAAATAACCAAAACGGGCTAATGAGAGTCACACAGCGGTTCTTGGTGCGAGTCAATAATTAATGTTTTATTAAAAAATACTTATAATAATATTTCAGACGTTTCGGCTTCACTCTGAGCCATCATCAGTGATCTGAACAACAAATTCTAGAAAATAGATTTCTTCTATGACTGGACCCGAGAGTGGTAACTACTTCATCCTCAAATTTTGACAAAAAGTTAGATTGTTTTTTGGCAATGAATAAGAAATCTAATGAAAAATTGCCATTTTAATAATAATTAATAAAATTCTTTAAGAAGACAAAAACAAGAACACTCACCAGTACAGTCATGAAGTCAAAATATGTATAAAACAATGAAAAATCACGTCGACATGTTAAAAATTAAAAATTATTCGCTTGTATAAAAATCAGTATGTTGTCTGTCAATAGACAGTAGTTGAATAAATAGAAGACAAGAAAAGTCAAACGAAATTAAGTATAAACATATGGGAGACTGCGCAAACGGTAAACTAATTTAACCAATAACAATATTACAAATTAGTGACGTAAGATGAGTAATATGACACAATAGTCATTTTAAATTGTTTAAGATAGGTATATACGCTTGGTGTAACAATTCAGTATCTGATTGTAAGTTTAAGCTATTGTTTTGTAATTTGATATGTAGCATTTCTGCAATGAGTCTCCTGTAAAGTCATCTCTCAGAATCAACAATCTCAACATTTTTCCAATCAAAATCGTGGTTAAAATTCAATTGGTGTTCACTTATAACTGAAAGACTGCCATTAGTCCTACGTATATCATTCTTATGTTCAGCTAATCTTGTTTTTAATGTACGTTTTGTCTGACCTACATAAGATGCATTACAGTCGTTACAGTTAATTTTATAAACTATGTTTCTCTTCTGCATATTAGATAAGCGATCTTTATTAGCGTGAATAAAACAACCAAGCCTATTGAGACTGAAAAATGAAAGACTCACATTTATATTTTCCAGATTTTTGACAATATTTTTAAACTTATTTGCATTATTAGATATAAATGGAACTGTGAACCATATCTTCTTCTCCTCTTCACTCTCAACTGCCCCATCACTTATTTGATTTAAAGTTTTTTTATTTAATAAAGATTTTAATCGCTCATTGATGGTATTGAAAATAAAATCCATCGGATAGTCATTATTGAGTAAAGTGTCAATTACAAAAATCAAATTTTTTTTATGAAATTTAGGAACAGATAAAAGGAAAGCTCTATCAACCATGCCCATGGCAGTACCTTTTTTCTGGGAAAGAGGATGTTGTGAGAAAAAATTTAAGTATCTACCTGAAAAAGTGGGCTTATGGTACCAATCATATTCAATGACATTATTATTTTTTATAATAGTTATATCTAGAAAATTGAGAGTAGAACCACCAATCTCCATCGTAAACTGTAGACGAGGATGTAACGAATTGAAGGTTTGTAGAATCTCAGTAGTTTTTTCGACGGGAGCACTGAGTGCTATGTCATCAACATATCGAACATACAAAGGTATATGTAAACCCAACATGTTCAGTGTATTTCTTTCTAAATCCTGTAATACAATATCTGCAATAACCAGTGAAAGAGAAGATCCCATAGGCATTCCAAATTTTTGTCTATAGATGACATTATTGAACGAGAAAAAAGCAGAGTTAAATATCAATTTTAATGCGATGAAGAACTCTTGCATAGGAATGTTAGATATATTGGAAATAGAAGGCCATCTACGAGAAATACTGTCTAATGCTAAGTCAATTGGAATGTTAATAAAAAGAGAGACCACATCTAATGAGATTAAGATGTGATTATCATCAAGAGTTGTTTTTCCTAAAATCTCAATCAATTGAAAGCTATTTTTTATGTAGCTAGGAGAATTGACACTAATCCTGTATATAATTCTATGCAAAAACACAGCTAGTGGATAAAGTGGACTATCAATGGTAGAAACAATTATTCTGAGCGGTATATCAGGTTTATGGATTTTTGGAAGACCATATGCGCCAGGTAGCAAACCATCACTAACATAGAGATGATTATACTTCTGCTGCGAGATGAAATCTTTCTTCTTTCATCGAACAAGAACTTCTCTCAACTTTCTAGATATTGAACAAGTTGGATCTTTTTTTACTAATTCATATGTGTTTTTGTCATTTAATAGGCTGAGCATTTTCTTTATGTAATCAGTTTTATCCATAGCCACAGATACATTACCCTTATCAGCTCTAGTGAGTATAATGTTATTGTTATATTTTAAAAAAGATTTAGTAGTTTTCCACATATTAATAAGTTGGTTTTTCAAATTGTCAAATCTATTAAAACAAGAAGAAAGATTATTTATCATTGGTAAAACTCGGTTTCTAACACCTACACGAAGATCAACATGTAGTTTATTAATGCTGTTCTCTATACTTTTAATACATTCAAGTGTTGTCTTTCTACAATTGAAGGGAGGCATCGAAAAATTCTCTCCCAACTGCAAAAGGCAAAGAATATTTTTAGGAATATGAATAAAGGACAAATTGATAAACCACTTATCCTTGAGGTTAGATAATGAAGAACCTATAGTTCTGTATTAATATCAAATGGATCAATGTGAACATTTATTTCATTTATGTCAGAATTATTATGGGGTATCTTGTAATCAATTGGTTTTAAGTTTTTAAAACATTTAAACTTTTGTTTTTTAAGGAGCTAATTGATGCCGAAACGTCTGAAATATTATTATAAGTATTTTTTAATAAAACATTAATTATTGACTCGCACCAAGAACCGCTGTGTGACTCTCATTAGCCCGTTTTGGTTATTTATATTTTGACATTCTCGAGAGTTCTAATTTTATGTAATTATTTATTTGCTTATATATAATTTCACGTGAATTTATATACTAATATATTTAATTTTTCTAAACTGCGCGCCGAATAATTGTCGGTCTTAAAACGCAACTCTAATAAACTACCGTAGTACTATCACGAATTAAATTGATTAACAATTTTAATAATTAATTGATGCTCTTTTTTGACATCTTATATCGATGTAAAATTATATTAAAATCTGAAAATAATTCTTATTGCGAAAAATATTACCTTGGCCGGGAGTCGAACCTGGATCGCTTGCTTTACGCGCAAGTGTCCTAGTCAATTAGATCGAGGCCTTAGTAATATTTCTCGCAATAACTGGTATATGTGAAGTGATAAACGTTTTCTTTCAGGCACGTAAATAAACAATAGGGAATTTTTGCAATACCGTTTATCCCAGATACGGTGAACGCTAAAGTCACGTTACCTTCTTCACACCTAATTAAGAAAAAGATAACGTGACTTTAACGTTCACCGTATCAGGGATGTTATAATGTAATAAATTATGCTGGGTTACTCAAATCTT